CAAACGGTAAAAAAAAAAAAAAGACGAGTAAAAGTTGCTTTTCTGCAGCCTGTAACAATTCTATATCTTTGTGTGGACTCAGTTTACAGGCAAATATTGTGGTTTGTTATAGAGGGAACATAAAAAAAGTCGAGCAAAGTGGGCCGATACTGTTTTTAATTCTTTAAATGTAACTTATAGAGAAACTCGGCCATTAGAACAGCTGAACAGGATGTTGTTTGCTAGGTGAGGAAACAATTTTGGGTTTTTTTTTTTTGGAATTTCTTTGTTCTGTTTTATTAATTTACAGACTCTTAATAAGGGCGGGCCTTGAACTTGGGCTTTGGAAAGTTGACACTTCAGTTGGGAAAAAGGATTTTGCTTAATTCGCCATCTTTTTCCTCAAATTGTCTTGATTTCTATTGGGAACAAATTTCTTTATCTGCTACCTTTGGGAAACGTTGACAGTCTTTCTTTGTGTTTATTTTATTTGGGCATTTTTTTTATGCTATTTAATCCCTTCGAGAATGATGACTGAATGACATTCGTCCTTTGTCAGATGTAAAATAATGTCAGAGCTATTTCATTTTTCATATAACTTGGCTTTGAGTTGACCCAACTCAGGATTTCATTTTATTCGAATCAAATTCCCAACCTTTGGTTTGCAAAAAGGTGTACCTTGTCAACAATGTTTGTTCAGACTTAAGTGAGCACCTGTTGAAAATTTCATGACTCGTTCTCGGATACTTTCTATGTTGATATGAAATGAAACAAGAAAAGAAAAGTAGAAGGATATTAAACTTATTCATTTTTAGCTTTTATTTTCTTGCCACAATTTGAATTCCATTACGAGAGAATCACTAAAGCGTATTAAATCTACAAATGCTTGATGTTGTCATTATCTTATTCTGCTCGCGGTCAATACGCTTGGAGTGCTTGCTTGCAAACGCTTGAAGAACATAGGATTTTAGAGTGTAAGTTGATTTTAAGGTCAACAAGCACATTCCTACTCAAATGATATATCCTGAAGTTTCTTAGTTACTTGGACACATCATTATTATGAAAATATTGATTGGGAATAAAGAGTATTATTACGATGACTAAATCTTTCTTAAATTACAAAATCAAGAAACTAGAATACCATTGCATAATAAGCAAACAAAGAAATAATACACACCACAAGGGAGACGCTAACTTCACTAGAGGTAGACATGGAGACGGGCGGTTTCGGTTCGCAGTTTATTTGAACAGGAATCGTCCCAGCTATATGCACGTATGAACTGGCGGTTTCCAGTTTAGAATCGGCCCGTTGGTCTGTGTCTGGTTCGGGCCGAAACGGCGGTTCTTTCCCTTAAGAAAAAAAAATTGGAGAGTGGGGATTACAAAAATGAACTTGGGTTTAGTTGATATTATGAGTTAAAAATATCGATTAAGTTGAAATATTTTCGATCGAAAATGATATTTTAACTTATTATATGTCAATTAAGTATCCCGTAGTTCGCTTAGAACGATCTCGTAATCGTAGTTGTAGTTGTCGTCTTCGGTATTTCCACTTGTTCTATATTACTAGTAAAACCATCATGCTCTACATCATCCTCGTTGTTAGTTAGCATGGTCGTATGTTCTATTTGTTCGACCTTTTTTCCAATCACTGCGCAGTATTTGAGCCTCCAAGTTTTGTGACGTCAACCTCCATCCTCCCTCACTAAATGATTGTTCAATCGCCACAGTTGAAGCCTGGACATAAAAAATATCCTTGGCCATCAAACATGGAACAAGATAAGTGGTCTACATTTTTTACACCAATCCAAGACATTGGATGTGAGTGGTTGATCTGGTGGTATGACAATCGTAAGTTTGAGATCCGAGACTAGGAAGTGATCGAGTTCATCATATCTAGTCGTCGTACTTATTGTTTTTTTAAATGATAGACTTTCCATAGAATAAAAACACATAATTACACACTAGAGAGCAGCTAAACAGTCGAATAAGTCAGTTATTCAGCTAAATTTAGTTAGGAGGACTAACCTCAAAGGCAAGAAGCCGAGGTAGTCTAGAACCAACCTAAACACAACACACTAAACTAAAAGACACAAGCTCCCAACAGGAGAATAACACAACTTTCAAAGGGAGCATAACAAACACCCACACCGGAACATAAAACACATAACCAACTACACACAACCAAACACTCAACTAAACACAGAAACACAACACTCAACAAAAAAATAAAGAACCAAAATAGGCAGAGCCACATCTTGGGAGGACATCTTCACGGAGGAGTCAGACTGCCGCAAAAGAGGAGACAACGCAAGGAGGGTAGACGGCGAACTGGGGTTGCTGGGAGAATCTGGTCTAACTTCTGCTTTAGAATCCATAACCAGAACATTGTAAGCTGCCTGCATCATAATCGTGTATTTAATTCCAGGGTTGCAATTATAGTTCATGACATTCTTGTTTAGCTAGCTCTCTTCTTAGCCTGCCTTTGTTCATTTGTTTTTTACCCGGGTGTTTGTTCTAGGTGTAGTACTGTTTTACCAAGCTTGCGGTTGAGGGGATCTAAGTGTGTTTAAAACCCCGCTGGCTGCATTGCTAGTTTGTTACTTGGGCTTAGTCGGTAATAAACACTATTTTGAGTTGATGGATTTGGTTGTTTGTCATTTGAAAAAAAAAAAATATATATATAGTTTATATAAAGAGTTAAAAAATCAAATCACTTGCTACTCAACCCATTATAGGGAAAATTGTATCAAACCCCCATGTGTTATACAAAATGTGCATGTTACTCCTATGTGTTTTAAAAATTGTGTTACACCTCTTTATATTTAGCTAACAGATGCACACATTCATTTTTTTTTTCATTTTTCCAGTTAATGGCGTTAATTTTTTTCTTTTTTGTGAAAACCCCATTATACCCTCTGAATTTTATATATATATGATACATTGAATTTATCACGATGTTTTAAAAATAGCTTGAGAAATTGACTATATTTTAAAAGTATCGCGAGAAATTGACTAAAAAAAATTTGTTGCCTATGAGGTTCAAATCTAGGACGTGAAGGGAGTGTGGAAACATTGCTACCGCCACACGACTCCAGGTTGAGTGTAAGATTCAAGCTCGCTTAATATATATTGACATTACACATGAATAAATCTAATTAAATTTAAACGATAATAAAAGTTATACTAAATTAAATTAAAAAACTATAAACGTTTAATCAATTAAAATATAATAAGATAAATTATATAAAATTAAACAAAAATAAAATAATTAAAATAACTTATAAATGATTATAAAAAAATTATAGGTAAAATAATATATTTTTTATATTTACTTTATATTATTTATTCCATATTATTCTGTTGTATTATTCATTTTATTTCATCTTATTATATCTTAGTTATCAAATTTTATTTATTTTGATTCACTTAATACAATGATATAAAATTAAAATATATTTTACTAAATAAAATTTTGAAATTAAAATTATTTATTTCTATTTAAAATCATTTACTAAAAATAATAATTTCTTTCTAATTTTTTATTCATATGGTATTGAAGAGTAAATTGTACTAAAAATTAATAGATAAATTATATTTTTATTTTACTGTTAATTTAATATTTTTATTTATTTTAATATACTATTTTATAATAAGTTAATTTATTTTACATTAACATTTTTATATTTTATTATTTTAAATTTGATTTATTATTATTATTATTATAATTTATTTAATTTTAATCTATTCTACATATTAAAATTTATCTTACTTCATTTTAGTTTACTTATTTTTTATTTTAATTTAATTTATTTCAAGTATTATTATTATTATTATTTTATTTATTATTTTAGTATGATATTATAAATATAGTTGTGTTGAATAATTTAAACAAGAATCTGTACGACCCAATGGTTCAATGGTCATGCTCATTGCCTTTTGGATCCTTGGTTTGATTCACCGTGTGAAGAATAAAAGGGAATAGAAGGTGTGGTACACTCACGAGTTGGACAGAATGGAAAAACTTTGCATCAATTACTTAAATATAAAAGGATATCGCTCAAATTCGTTACACACATAGGAACGCAACATATTTTACCCACTCATTATATCATCAATCAACTCAAGGTCAAAATATGGGTAATGCGTATTTTTTAAAACAGTACGAAAACAAGCAAATTTTGTTAAAACACTTATCAGAAACACCACATTTACCCACCCATTATATCATCAATCAACTCAAGGCCAAAATTCATAACTTTCAACATTTAATTTAATAAACCAAATAAGGCGGACGGCATGCATCAGCATAATCAAAGAGTTGTCTTTCAGAGAAAATCACATACTACAAAACTCTCTAAGTTCCAGAAACCGCACGAGTACCTCCAATGTACGGAAAATAATATCTCAATCAATCATCTAATAACAACAGTCATACAAAACCTAATTCCAGAAAAGTAACCATGACAAAATTCTGAACAAGAAGAGGAAAGGGTCCAAGAACCGAAAGTGCTGGGTCAGGCACTTCCTTCTTTGATCTCAAAATATATTTTCATCAACTGAGCTGCATTCATTTTCTGTTTCTTATTATAGTCTAATTGTCACGCCTTACAGACCTCCTCCTGGGTGCAGTCTCGTTTTGCTCGTCCTTCTCCTCTGAGCTTCCCTGGTTGTTTGAACTCTCAGCAACATCTGTTTTCTTTGTCTCTGCACTTACCTTAGCCTGATTTCACCAACAAGAATGAGCTAATCAGCTAAGTAACATCTAAAGAAGAATACTGTCTTAAAATAAAATATTCCATACACGGGGCCTTCATAATCTTTTCAACATTTTTTTCTCACCCAACTTTTAAAAGGCATAACATACTCCTTTGTCAAATTACAGAAAGAAGAAGCTGTAAGCAAGTACTAAACTACTTACCGCAGGCTTCTTTCCACCAAAGATGAGCTTCAGGAGAATTGAGAAGAAAATCACAACAATCGAGACAATGACACCAATGGTGAGGTTAGGTTGCTTCTCAGCCTTCTCAAGTAAGTCCTGCCAATAGAGAAAAAAAGGAGAATTAATCATATTTCAATAAGATCAAGACAAAACAAATTTCCATGAAAGCAAACCACTCACCAAGACTTTGATTTTGTGCTCGCCCAAGAAAGGGAGGTCGGCAACCTTGTAAAGGTAGTCAAACACCAATTTCTGGAACAATAAACACAAAGGCAAAACTTCATATTAGCACGCACCCGCAACAAGCAACAACAAACCTGAAAAACACAACATAGAGAACCCACGCGTAACATCCCACAAAGTACCTGAACGCCCTTAAGCCCATCAGAATCCACAGCATCCTCTTCCTTCTGCTTCTCCTTTTCCACCTCAAACTTCGGTTTCCAGGCAGCCACCCGCAACGACTCAGCCGCCTTCTCACTAGATGCAATCAAGATGTTATCAAACAATATACCATCCTGCATCGTCCAAATCTCAATGCCAATGGCTGCAATTGGCTCAAAGTCCGGCTTCTCAAGCTCGAAGAACTCGGGGTTGTCAATGTCCCTTGGTTTCCAGATACCCTTGTACTTGGGGTTATCGATAAGAGGAGCATGCCATTTTCCCTTGTAAGCAGGGTTCCTCTTCATTGGCCTCTTCCACTCCCCACACCCTGGAGCCTCCTCACACTTTGGGTTATCGATTTTTGGGGCCTCCCACTCACCATCCTCCTCGTCATCCCAATCCTCAGGCTTGGCCGCCTCAGGATCTTCCACCTCCTCGGGCTCATCATCGAGCCATCCCTCAGGCTTCTCAGCTTCTTCATCCTCAATCTCCATTGGGGCATCCTCATCCCAGTCCTCGGGCTTGGTGGCATCCGGATCAGAAATCTTGGCCCGCTCATCCCAGTCCTCGGGCTTCTTGTCATCCGGATCAGGAATGGTCTTAGATGGGATGAGCGGGGGCTCAAAGTCTTCACTCGAGAGGAAATTTGCCTTCTTCTTCTCCTCTCCATCAATCAAGATGCTCAGCTCGTTATCTGGCTTCAGAATGGCTGTGTAGACGTGGGTCAACTTGTCCGAGGGCACCGAAGGCGGGAACTTGAGATGGTGCTCTACGAATTTCCCGCTCTTGGGGTTTTTGTGGTTTAGAATGAAGTGGACCTTATTCGTGGCTCCACATTTGTCGGGACCGAACATGATCGTGTAGGGAGACTCGTTGTCAAATTCCTTGGGGATCCAACCGGCTTCCTGGGGACGGAGGTACTTGATATACGCGCCACCACACTCAAGGCCATTCTGTAGACGGACTTCATATTGGAGGACAATGGTGCCGTCCTTGAGGTCCACAGGTTGGTCAAGTTCCTTCACAATGGCATACTTCCTGGCTTGCTCACTCACAAGTAGCCCATAATCGTCATGCCCCTCGCTCTTCTCATGCTTCCAAACACCTGAGATGTGATAATGTTTTCAGAAAATCACTCAACTAGATGAACCTCTCCATTATAAGAAATTGTCACAAGCTCCTTGCATGACCACATGTAAATGGCAGGGAACCAAATAGAAACAACAAGGTCCCATCTAAAAGAACCTGAGACCAGCTAACTACCACATGTCTGCTAACTACAACATGTCTTGAGCATTTGAAGATAGAAAAAACAACTGAATCTCAATGTTTAGAAAATGCAAAATCCTGGAGCTTCTTTAAAGGTGTTGGATCAATGAGAATATCTAACAATGTTAAAATAGCTTCACATCACACACATCGCTTAATATCTGCATACCGCATAGGATAGACAAAGCATTTCAGAAATAACCACCAGTAATTATATATATTAATATTAATACAATTAAAAGGTACAGATTTTGAAACTCGAATAACATGCGAAACATCCAGTAAAAGAATCCACACAACAAGCAAGTGACTAGAACCAATGACTAACAACAAACTAAAAACAAACTAAAGCAGATCAATTAAAATATAACCTGAATATTCCTGCTTCTCAGAAACAATCCATCTCCCATCGAATTTCTCATCAAACGACTCGTGGAATATCTACAAACACCAATATCGCAACCATGTCAACACTCAAACAATCAAATCAGATCTGAAAGAGACTCCAATGAAATCGAATCCAAATGGAAAATTGCAAGCAACCAGCTAAAATGAAACAAAAAATCGAAGATTCAGAATATCCGCATACCACATCATCGGAAGCGCATAGCTGTGAGATGAAGCACCCGATCGATAGCAGCAACAAGCACTGAGTTATTCCAAACTTCCGGCTCCGATCCCCCATCATTAATAAAGATTCGTCTGCAGAGATTGTTGGATCTGAGTAGAATTTTCTAGAGAGAGAGATTGTTGGTAAAGGATATTTATAAATAATTATACGGTACTGTGAGAGATTGTATGAAGGGCTGTATATATAGATCAGATGGAACTAATGGGAGTCGGGCCGTGTCGACCAATGATGTGTAGCGCCACGTTACTTGGACCAATGACGTCCTGACACGTGGCTTATTGTGACGAGCTTTTCCTGAAGTACGTATTGACCTCTGTAAGCTGGTGATAATCGGGCATGCGGGTTGACCCGATTGCTTTGATCAGATCATTTTCCAATTTATTATTATCAAACTATGTTTCAATTGATGTATTTGATTGACCAGATCAAATGACTCAATTTATGAAGTCATCCAAACTTATTCATTAATAGTATATTGACACGTGTTATGTAATAAATACAATTTGGACAGGTGTCAATACATTAAGTGGTGGATAGCTCCATAAAAAAACTATCCGATGGCTCCATAGAATTTTTGTTTGATTGACATGCTTTCCTTTTGTTGCCGCAGGGAAAAAATTATTTCTAATAAAAATAAAAATTGTAGTTGTAATAATGTTAAAAATATAGCATAAGATTACGTGTGAAAAACTATAGGAAAAGACTTAAGTTCCGTTGTGCTTTTTCGCAGAATGGTTCCGCTATGTCTGGGCCAATAAAAATTTGACAAATCACTTTGGTTTAGGAGGCTCGCAGCATGTGATCATTTCCATTGAGGAGTTTACAACCGGTTACAGCAAGTTGCTTCCGGTTTCAGACAAAGTGCAATCGACTCACGGCTCTCCCAATAGAGATCTCGATTTTTCCACTAATGGCGCTAGGGTTCCTCTCTTTCCCTAACTCCTTTTCAGAGCTAAGATTTCTGCAATTTGTCGAGCCTCTGCGCCTATAAATCACTGACGGATGAAGGACGACGGCGCCGGACCCACCTCCAAGATCCCCGACAAACAACCACTCACCGGTTCCATCCCCGACGGCGGCGCCTTTCCCACCGTAAACCCCTGTTATGATGCATACTCTGCCAGTACCAGGCGGAGGCGGAGCTCATCCCGGACGATATCCGCCGTCAGGCCCACGACCACGCCCTGGCCCTCGAGATGGGGAATCTTCCGGAGGCCGAGTAGTGGAAAATTGGGGATAAGTGAACACGCCCTACTGTGAGGTCTCGCATTCGTCAGGTAATAATAACACCAACAAAATCTCGAGTTTTTGGGTTTATCTCAAGGGTTTGACGGAGGGAGTTGCGGGAGGTGTTGGGGTGAGCAAATTTTGCAGGGGGAAAGAGGGGCAAGCGAATCCGGAGCTTTTGGATTTCGAAGCTCTAATTGAAGGGTTCGACTTGGCAACGCCACTCGTCTTGAAGAGGATTTCCATTGTTACTGACAACCTTTGCTTTATCAATTTGTGAGTAAACAAACACTACTTGTAACAATTTTTTTTTGGTTGCTGTGTAAGGGCTGTTGTGTGTTGTTAAATTCCTATCCAGAACAAGAAAAATACCTTACCCTCATCTTATTTTTCTTAAGCTTTTGGAGTGGTCTTGATGAAGGTCGAGATTTAAGTCTTATTTTTCATGTGTTATGGTTTGAACCGTGTATATGGAGTTATATACTAGATTTTGCATTTTCTACCCGTTCAGATGGTCCCTAGAGTGTACTCATGTCAACTTCTCGTTTTTCAGTATTCAATCATGTCCAATTTTTGGCTCGTTCATGCCGCAGAAAGTCTCATTTGCTTTTTCTATATACAGTTTGAGCATCTGAGTTTCCAGTCGAGAACGAAACGATGCCGTCGCGTAGAAGAGTTCTTCTCAAGGTCATCATCCTCGGCGATAGCGGGTGAGTGTTTCCTGTATTTTGACGAATTTGTATTCGCGTGATGTGCTTTTTTCTTTCTTTTTTTGGCATAATTTTGTGCGGCGTGGTTGTGCGTGTAGGGGTAAATTCAAGATTTATTTATTTTTTATTTCGTTATCATGGAGGATCATCTTCAAGGCTTGGGGAACAACTTTTTTAAAAAAAAAAGATTAAAACACAATCTAGCATTAAACTTTCCATACGTCTAACCTTTATGAAACAGGATTTGTTGTTTTCGTTTGATCCAAGTACTGTGGAGGCTCATTTTGGTACTTCTAGTCAAACAAGCATCCGAATGGAGAGAATGGGATAAGCTCGCGATCAAAGTGGAAGAACATGAGCTTTAAGAATGAGATTCTCCAAATTTTCCAGAGCATGATATTACCCTCTCTAACATTATAACGATTTCATTGCTTTCTGATTTGATTAGATTTGCCGTTTCTGATTTTGTTCTCATTGCACTTGTGAAAACTCAAGTCAAAATGTCAAATGGATTTTTATTTTTTATTTTTTGGCTATTCTCACTATTAATTTGTGTTGTCTGGTGACTTCAAATAGATAAGTCCACTCTTTTGTGATCTGAACTTCATTCTTGACGATATCGTTATGGAGGCTGTACCGTTGTTGACAAATCTCTTACAGTATCCTGATGCCAAGATGAGATTTACATTGTTGTGCATTGTAGTATGACAGCCATTTTACTTGGATTCATCTGTAGGTTCTCCTTTTTCATATGTGACCTGATAAACTAATACCTGTATATTCTTTTGTGTGATTCTTAGGTTTTGGAATATGCATCTGTTTGTTTGACGCGGATTGCTGAGGCTTTCGCCTCATCACCTGAGAAGCTCGATGAACTTTGTTAGTAGCTTGGAGTATCATAACCTTTTTCTTGCGATGTACACATGATATAGGTTCTGTGGAGTTGGATTCAGCTGGTGTCTCTGTATCACTTTTTAACATCATCTCGAAGCTTTTCAACATTCCTCTCCTCAGTGTTGCAGCATTCTTTTGCCTGAAGCATATCAAAAAATGCAGGCAGGTTCTCAGCAACAGGTTGGTGTTATGCACTTATCATGATACTGACAGATTTCAGTCTGATATCATGTGAAACCACTTTGTTCAGTATCTCTTGTCAATTTCTTGAGGGTAGAAGTGTGTTGGTGATATCATCTTAGTCAGTGAATCTCTTATTGATGTTGTAGAAAAGCTGCAGCTATCCTCAGTTTCCACAGCTTTAACTTTAGTTGTTGGCATTGGTATATTTGATGCTATGGCCCTGTCTTTGGGAACTCTTCTCGGCTTGATGGAAATATCATCGGTATGGATTTCCAATGTTTTAGATTCATCTTCATTTCCTTGAATCCCTTTCGGTTTGCTTTTAATCTTGTTTGCCATTTCATGGAATATTGGAACGGTCTTTTATTCTGCGGGCCCTTGGTTTCTCCAACTTTTGTAGTTTCTTTGGCACTTGAAGGAATCTTCCGTGGTTTCATTTGAAAGACAGAACCATTGGTTTCTTTGCACTTCAACAAGAACCAACGGTGGTAATTTTGAACCTAGGTTCTTGTTTATTTCCTTGGAACTCGTTCTTACAATTTGTTCAATTGCAGACCAAAGTCCGGACTGGTGGGGTTGGGGTTACTGGCTGTCACCTCTGACCTATGGATACAACGCTATTGCAATGAACGAGATGTTTGTTACGAGATTTCTGAAAAGAAAAATAATTGCACCAAAAAAGAGCAACTTGAGAAAAAAGCTCAAAAGAGAGAAGAACAACTTCGTATTATGAGAATATATGTTTCGAAGCTTCCAGAAACTCTACAGAAAAGGATTGAAGATTGTCAAATGCGGATAATAGATGAATGAGAATCCGAGGGTCTTTTTGGAGAAAATGGTGTATTATTTAGTTAAAAGTCCAATTTGTTCTACTCATTCTTCCATTTGTTCTCGGTTATAATTTTTCTATTGGTTTTGGCATTTAGGAAAATAAACCATTGACAGAATCGTTGGCCGGAGAATCACGCACTACTAGAGAGACCGATTCGGAGAAAGAGTGAAAGTTTTTTGTTTCTTTTTAGCTTAATGCATAATGGACTTGCAAATTAAGCTACTTAGTGTGTTAGAACATTTTTCTATGATTTTTTTTACTATCTAATGGAGTATTTGAGTTTTATGCAAATTTGTTTCTATGATTTTCTATGGCTTTTTTCTTTCTTTCTGTCACTCTTTTTCTGTTCACTTTATTTTTATTTTTTTTTAGGTTAAGAGATTTTTGAGTTGGTTTTGCTGTTGAGACTCGAGATGCTAGTTCTATACAATAGTAGATTGTTAAAAGCAAGTCTAAAGTTTGAGATTATGGTATCTGTAAAAGAAATTAAGACAACAAGTTAAGGATTAAAATAATTCAGTTGTAAGCAAATGCTAGCACACGTTGGACAAAATAATTAATTTGGGCTCCATTGCTCAGGTTTGGCATTCAGTTTTAGAACAAAATTCAAATACTTCAATCGGCTTTAGTGGCATGAGTTTTGAAGAGAAAAGGAGGCCTTATTCTAATCTCGGTGTTAAAACTTGGCACATTTGAAATCAGTATAACCTGAGCAAAATAGATACATCATACAAATCTGAAGCAATTAAATCTGTTTTGAAACATAACATGTTCTGAATATAACCTGAGCAAAATAGATACATCATACAAACCTGAAGCAATTAAATCTGTTTTGAAACATAACATGTTCTGAATATTCAAGTGGAAGCATGCATTTGTTTTATCTTTGTAATTCACCATTTGTAATTCACATGTGAAGAGGTTTAAATTTACTTGATATGCTGCAAACTTTTTACTAACTGAATGTCTATAATTCAATTGTTCAGTCCTGTTATAATAATTCAATTGTTCAGTCCTGTTTATAAACATAATTTCCTTAGCATGCATTATTATCTTTCTCAGATAAAATATTTCTAAGCATGCCCTTTTTGGTATCAGAGTTTTATCTGTTTTACCTAAGCACATTAGCTTGAGATTAAATAGTGGAACGGCTTATAACCCATAATAGTAACTGATAAGGAAATTAAGACAACAGAGCAGGATGACCAAACCAGCTCTTCCTAGAATACAACTTTCTTAAAATTGTATTGAAAGAACAATACGTGATATCATATAAGAAATATGTGATATCATATAGAACCATGTGTCCAAGATATCATATAAGACTGTACAACTCAAAGATGCTTAAAAGTATAAAACTCATCTGGTTAACATTTAGCTAACTGCTCAATTATGAGTTTAACCTTTCCAAGATAAACTGAGCACCAAAAGCTAGCAACGCATAGGTTACAGGAACATAAAAAAAATATGAAGGTAAGTTCAATTATTGTAACACAAATATAATCCATATGATTCATTGAAAAACAGATAAATGACCAGAAATTAAGTCAAAAGCTACCACCGATTTTGTAAACAAATGAGTGACTCCTACAGATTAACATTAAAAGACCTACAAGGAGGAGCAGAAGTCCGAGCTGCCGGTGAACATTAAGAAGCTGCAGCAGAGGCTGGACTCACACAGAAGAGTGCGCTATTTTTCTAAGTATCTCTTCCTTGGCTTCATTTGCTTCATGGTAGAATATCTCAATAGCCATTTTCCTTCTCTCCAAATGTGAGTTTTCAATGCTGAAATGCATCCCGGCCCGTAGCTCGTCATATAGTTGCATGAATCTTATTGTGAATAATCCACAATCATAACTGCAATACAACAATGTGATCAACAATTCAATGTTGTCGTTAGAATATCTGATTCAACATAACTCAAACTCAAACTTACAGATTCTTTTGCTGTGGTACCCATTGCGCGATTTTCGTAGGAAATTTAGAAATATTGACACTATAAGTTGTACCACATCCAATCTCTAAAGCCTCATGGAAATACTTGAGCTGGATGACAATTAAATTTTATAAATAAAATCACAGCCAATAGAACTTGAAAAAAAAAAAGAAAAATAATTTTCAAACTAATTACCACAACTTTGGCACTTGAAATACGTTCCCTGCAATTTTTTGGCCTAAGTGAGTCCAATATCAGAACCTCCTGTCTGATTATGTCGACTACACACAAGTACCAATGACCTCCAGGATTGATTGGAATGAAGATCTATGCATTTAAAAATTCAAAATGCCAATAAACCATTACTCAAACAATTTTACTAGCTAACTTGTAAACAATGCATCAAAATTGTGGAAAGTTACCTTTTCACATTTTTTAATATCCCCTCCATATTTATCTTCACGCAAGAAATAACGATATATGCAACCAGCATCACAACCATTTTTCCTTTCGGTAATGTATTGCTACATCACAAAATATCTAATCAATTATATCTTTCAGTAAATAATAATGCAAGTAGAATATTGATGACCTACCGAGACATAGGTTGGCATAAACCAATTTTCCGCTGATAGTTTAGAGGCATCGTTTCGATTATCCCACCTCAGCGTACAAGCGTATAGATTTAAAATCTACAAATCATAATAAACAATTACACTCGATCATTGTAAGGTTTAGCATAAATAGACTTACTTCTGCACTTAGCCAGTTTGAAGTCTGTAGTTCTGTTAACCGTGTTCTTTCTCCAAATTCTCCTGACATCTCCACGATCTTTCACTTGCAACATCAAAAAATAAAATAAATTAGCAATAAATTTTATATGCATTCTGATGATAAATGTGCATAAAAATAAACACTTACTCGGGACTGTGGTTTACATCAAAGATGTACTTCAAAACATTCTTCTCTTCCTTACTAAAATCCTCTTCAACACCCTAATACAAAAAAAAAAATCATAAAATGGGATATGAATAGCGAGACACTTTTAACAAAATTTATAGATGTAGTTTGTAAGGCATTGTATGCATGTGAAATAATATATTACCTTACTCTTCAAGGGACTCTTTGTGTCATTTTTCGAACTCATACGTTTGGAAGAAACTTCTTCAGATGAATCACTTAACACTATGTGCACATCAGGTGATTTTTTTCTACCCATTCCACCCATTCCACTCAGAGAGGCATCAAATTCGAAATTATGACGAAATTTTTTAGCGGCGGCACCTGATTTTTCACGAGATTCGGGATCCTCTTTTGAATGTTTTGCCTCTATAAGAGAATTAATCAAATCAAACAACCTATCTATCTTCGAATCCATATAGGCCATGCGACGAACCATATCATCCACCTTTTCTTCCAAACTAATCATTTTTTTCTCCAACCTTAAGGCTCCATCTTCAACTATAACACCAACCTACACATAATATTAATTATAAATAAATAAAAATATTGCTGAATTGCCTACACAAGAATAATAGATGCATCATTTAAACATAGAGAACTTACATTGATTGTTTCGGCTTTTCTAAATTAATACTTCTAGGCGTTTTCGTTCCCATCTTGCAGTAATCTACAATACATTCAAACATAATTGAAATTGCACACGCATAATTCCATACACACGTAGTAAACTCAATATGACAATACACTCATATGCACAATTATTTAAAGAACAACCTATCTATTTTTACTGTATAGGCACTTGCTCAGAAATCCATAAGATTAGTGGTCCAATATTCAGGTCAATTATATGCATGCGAAAGTGAAGGTATCTACTTCTATTGCTAATGAGGAATTTGTTCCTATAGAATTTGAACTTAATGTTAGAAGAAGTTGTGGTAAGTTTCTTAAGCCATTCTTGTTACTTGGTGTGCCATTTTCATAAGACACTGACTTTAGTCTTACGTGGGATGTAATCTGTTTACTTTCCTTCTACAGTAAGAACATCTTGGGCTGCTAATGTAGGAAACTTTGATAAAACATTCACAGGCTTTGAACCTCAATATGGTGTTCAGGTTAAGTCCTATATCTTTCTCTATTCATAAAAGATAATAGTTTATATACTAAAACTGAAACATTCATGTGGCCGATATTTTTCCTTTTTGTATAATCTCATACATATTGTCCCTGCAGGAACAAAATTAGAATGAAAGTCACAGTCATGCTTTTCAAGGTTATTCAGAGTTGGGTACTGCTGCACTGGAAAGCATCACTGAAGCTCGTCAGAGAAGTTCAAGAGAGAAAGCCTCAGCAGATTGTGTAGCATATTTCCTTGCTATAAGTCATATAAACATATTAAAGGCCTATCTGCTTTATCTTAATTGATTGTTATTAAAGGAAGAATCTCGACGTTGCCAGAGGAAGAATCTCGACGTTATTAAAGAGAAGTTCATAGAGGTTTTTTGAGGAAGAATCTCGACGTTGCCAGGAGAGGAGAGGATCGCCAAGTTATATACATTATACAGTTAAGGTAATTACCCCCAAAGTTTTCACTCACCAATTTTTCGATTTCCATCTTCATTCTTTTAGTTACGTAGACTGAAAATATCACATTGGCAAGAAGCATTAAAGGATTTGATGCCCCAACCTGAGGTGGTAAGATACCCATTCTTTGAGAAACAATAAACTGTTTTAGCTCTTTCTTTAGAGTTTCTTAGTGAAATGTTGTAGCACAAATTGTTATTTTTACCGAGTATCGAATCAAATGATTCGTTCCCCGGGTCGATCTTTCGAGGAAGGCGATTCGGAATTTAACTTCGGTATTGATTTCACACAAAAAGAAAATAAAAACCTAAACACTCTAATCAGAAATGAGGAATATATTATCAGCTATGAAATCAACAGCAAACAAAAACGAACCTAAAGTACGAACTAGAAAGCGATAAAGAAGCTAGGGAATCGGGGATAATTTATTCAAGTTCTAAGCAAAATCGGGCAATCAATTGTTCGGTTCGAGATTGACACTCTCGCTTAGACATCTAGCGGTTCGCTCCCAATAACTCTTCGTAACAAGGGATTGAACATAGACGAGCTAGCTCGAGCATACAACACATGTCAATTATCCCAGTCTCAATAACTTTTCGTAACAAGAGACGGGTCATCGGCAAGTACGTATTTCAATCCAAAACCTATAGACTATTCAGTGACGAAATCATCTATCTCATGCAAGCCTAAGTCTACGACTTCTCCCCTTTCGGTTCTAAAAGTCGCTAATTCAATTAGAAGGTGTTTAATCAACTAATCATATAGAATCAACAAACCCTAACTCGACAAGTTAACATTCAATTGATACCAATTGCAAGATCGAAGTGTCACCCTTCGATTATATCAAATTATCAAGCAAGAATTAATTAACCCTAATTAAAGAAACTCGCACAAGCATGAACAGATTAAAGCCCAATAATAACGAAATTAATCAAGAACAATCATCCCCTATCCCTAGCAGAAGGAATTAGCTACGTAAATCAAATTCAACAAATATAATCATTCTACTCAAGTTAACCATTATTCATGAATTAAACAAGAGAAAGGAATACTTACAATCAATCCAAATTCAACAGTGACTTTTTCACTTTCAATTGATATTCACAAATGAACATATCTTCCAAACGAACCAAAAGCATGCATAGAACCCAATTGTCCCCGTCAACACAAAGAAAGCATACCATAATAAGCATGTACCCAAAGTACACAATACCAGAGACCAGCTTAGTAATCTCCAAGCTTGGTAAAGTAAAATGCAAAGTAAAGGAAAAGTTAAAAAGCAGACGAGCCGACGGTGAGATAAGAAGACATTAGTTAAAAACTATTGTCGAATCATCTTCTGAACAATTTAAAAGAAAAAACTCTACAAAATGCAGTGAAATAGCCACAGGGTCAGAGGCTTTCAAGTCAACGAATGTTCCAATTTAGTTTAAACCGGAAAAGAACGGGAACTGGGTCGATCTTTCGCCAAATTAAATTCTCCGTCTGTTCTCTTTGCTTCCTGCTTCGAACAGTTACGGCACTAGCTGAAAAACAATTTGAAAAGCACATGTTATAATTCAATTTGAAAAGCACATGTTGTAATTTAAGAAAATAGCAGCCCCACAGAACATATCATCAAATCCGACCCTATCTACACCTAAAACAATCAATTACAAGTAACTCAAAAAAACAACATAATCAAAAAAACTTCGTCGAACCTATACAAACGAGCCGCAGCCCACCCCAACAATCGACCAAAATACGGAGACAGATATCCAAACAGAGACGAACCTTTCAAATTTAAACACACTGACAAACGCATCTACTCTAGTAATATTTATATCAATCATTAGTTGAAGAATTATGCCTTTGAATTTCAATCTAAGAATCATTAGCAACCACACGAATTGTTGAAAAGTGATCGAATGAGATGAAGAGTATAATACTAAAAGCATCTACCCATGATACCCATAACACAGCACATGTTTCACAAGTTTAGTAACCTTGAGATTTTTAAGAAAAATGTCCGAACCAAATGAGACGTACAGAGGAGTAAACCCACAAATAAAAAGATAACATTATCCATCAACATCATACAACCATTAACCATTAGGCATTGCAGAGTAACTGCATATTCCTCATAATTATATGAATACCACAAAAAAAAAAAGAAGAAGAAGAAGATAAGTTGGAGAATTTTTACAATGATAATATCCCTGCGTCAGCCGTAAAGTGGCGTCGTTCAAGACTAGCTTCGGGTCCTCTTCATCATATTCGAACTCGGCCTGCAAAAAAGTGGCCGATTAAAAAAACCCCTTCAAAAATTTGTTTCTTGAGAACTTCACGACACAAACAGCCGTGGCTGTGGGGGTTGTCGGAGAGATGCATCAAGGAGGTAAATGAGGAGAAATTTTCGACAATTAATCCTCAGAGATTTGGGCCTTTGAAATGAGGTTTCAATATTTTAATTTTCCCCCTAAAATTCAACTCCTTTAAATTTTTAATAGTTGGCCAAAGCCAAATCAAATTCAATACAGAAAAATTATTCAAACTAAAAATATTGATTCTAAACTACAAAGAGATTCGAGATTACCTTTGTTGTTCCTGATCTCCGAAATTCAAAATTGAGACTAGTAGCTTGATGAATAATGAACCAGTTGTTAAAAGGAAAAAGAATGATGGCCATAGTGGGTGGAGTGGACACGATCGTGGTTTGAAGATAGGCCGGAAAGCTTGAGTTTTTTTCTCTCTTTCGGACAGANTAGACGGTGACGGGTGACTTCCTGTTGGAGTTTGACTTCTTTTGAAAAAAAAAACTTGTGTGCATTAATACCCACGATATAAATATGTTCTCTGTCCAAATCTAAGGGTGTATATCAATTTATAAGCTGTAAGGGCCTATCTTAAAATAACAGAGTCATCCCATTACGGGACCCTAGCCTTGCCCAAAACTATAATATGAAAGAGTTCAGTTTTTGTGAGTAGAATTAAAATTGAAAATGAAAATTACACTTGAATTTGAAGCGAAAGAGAATTATCAATATATGTTGTGCACCCCTCGCTTGGTCTTTAAAAAATGGCTTTAAGAATTTGTAAAGCATTGGGAGGGATTCCTTCATAAACACTGACCTTCAAATCAATTTCAAGATTTTTAGAAAATTCTATAATTGCACCAATCACAATAATGAGATACTAGGGTTTCAAATCTATTAATGATCTACATATGATCACAGATAATATATTTTCAAAATTATTTAGATTATTGTGATCCCTCTAAATCTATGTAAGAACCTTAAAAGATATGTCCAATCACCTTTCAATATAGGAAAATGTTTTTTTTTTCCTTATATTTTGTCCTGCAAATCACTGTCACTATTCAACTCGATTTTCCAAGCCCCATTCTTTTCTCATTATATTGGGCATCAGGTCATCCTAGGATTCTAACCTCAATTGAACCCCCATATGAGGCTATATAAATTGGGGTAATATGTTATCTTTATGCTATTTTTCGATTAAAAATGTCTTATTAATGTTGACGTGTTTGTGTGTTTGTCCCTAAAAATACAAGGACAAACATTTTGGAACTTGTAGCATACCATACATTAGAAATCTAGCAAATTATAATTCTAGTCGATAGAATCGAGGATGTTTTCTAGAAGAGAATAATGCAAATAACTAGTATATGTTTTTAATTTCGTAATTTCTGCAATATAATGTCTTATTTATAGAATTCAACCTAGGCAATAGAAATCAAGGTTCAACTGTCACTATTATCAATCATTACTATCCACTAAGGCGAGTACGCTGGGTAGAAAAACGGTCATATTGTTTTCTATTGTTAGAACACCACTAACTCAGGTGTTAAATCAGTTTGTAACAACTAAATTGTAAGGTAGAATCAACGATATCTCTATATACATTGCATCTAATGAGGGCATGGGTTGGAACACCAAAGTTCAAGCTGGCATGCATCATTTTTACTTGCATTTATTTAATTATTTTTTAAACTATGATGAAGTAATTTATTTTGACTTTTAATAGAAAATAGAGTTGATATATTTATTAGAAGCGAAAAGGAAGATAAATGGGTCGAAGAAGGTACGCACATGAGGTATTGGACAAATCCAGTTACAAAGCCCACATTGAGAGGGGAACCAACCAATTTTATTTGTTGTGAAGGGCCATTGAATTAAAGCCCATTTTGGAAATTGATAAGGTAATTTCAAGTATTGGTCTGCAGAACTAAACTTCATGGCCCACCATAACCATCCCATGAGTTATTTCAAATGAAGCATAGATTGGTTTTTTCACCAAAAGGAAATGTATGTGCATGTATTTCCTTCTTCACGCCTGTGATCTGTCCGCCATTTTTACGCTTAAAGGACGATGAAAGCTGCACGTCGTCCGGTACCTCGTCGTTGTTGCTTGACGCCGGAACCGACAGCCACCACCTGGCATGATCACCGTAGAATAGTCTTGAGAAGTCGAGCGTGAAGTGTCGCTGCGATGGAATTTGTTGCCACCGGATTGAGGTTTGCTGTTGAATTTCATGACTGGAATTGCCATGTTCAACGTCTCGACGCAGACCTAACACTCAGAGAGGATCTGCATGACGACCATAAAATTCGAAATTCAAGAGCCTAGGTCGAGTAAGACCCAATTAGGAATGTTTGAAACTTTGAATGATTATTATTATGAAACAAGTCTATTGAGCTCAGAAAATTAATAGCTCGTCTAATAATCTAGATGATATAATTTATGTAAGTAGGTCAGGTGAATTGGTCCCATTTAGCTCGAGTAAATCGATCATGTGAGTAGATGGGATAAAGTTCGGTCCGATTAATTCGAAATACATAGTATGTCAATAGCTCGGATATATGGTAGCTCAAAAGTATATTGTTCTTACTTCAATAGCTCAGGTAGTATGGTGTTAGTATGTCAATAGCTCAGATATATGATCGCTCGAACAATATGTTGCTTGTACACCATTAGCTCGAACAATGCGGTGTAAGTATCTTAGTAGCTCCGACAATATATTAATATAGTAGCTAGGACAGAGTGGGTAAACCTACGTTTAATAGGTTGGGGGACCTATGTGGCAGACGACTGTGGATACTTTAGTCTAAAGCCAGGTTGTCTCTTGCCTGCCCCATGGATTCAGCAGTCTGAAAAAGAACAACAGAACTAAGCTCGGATGGTTCCGATATACCTGCATTTCACCTCCTCATTGGAATCTCTTGGATGGACTACTTTTTCATTTCATAAGAGGGAGGAAGACTTATGGAAGCTGAAGACCTACGAATGAATGAAAGGATAAGAAGACTTATTGATATGGGATACATGTGATGTAAGAGAAAAATCTAAATGATCCTATGGTTGAAAATGAGTCTCGAGCAGACCTAAGAGTAGCCAAATCACCGCCAAGCAAATCTCCACTCAGTTTGAGTACTCGAGCAAACCTTCGAGCAGCTATGGCAAAGCTTATTCAAGAAGCCAATAACTCAATATAAACAGATATGATATGNCCTTTTATGATCATCGAAAATTTTACGTCAAAATACCTCCCGACATATTCTGCAAGACTTCGAGGAGCAAAAAAGTGTGAAGACAAAAGAAAGCCAGTTCGAGATGCAACATAACACATCACATACAATATTACACACTAATAAGTTGTATACACACACGTAAAGCGTACTTATTTATGTCAAGCTCAGTAATATACATGAACTCCAAATTACTTTACGATATATGTCACAACTAAAGAAAGCTAACAAGGCCTCCACTCATTAATTCACAAAATACAAGTGATTTCCAACCGTAAACAACAATTCGATGCTTTCCCAAATTAGATGGCCTTAGGATCCACCCCAATGTCTTTCAATGTCTCAACGTGTAAAGGCCTGCAACCACATAAACACACAATCACACCTATATATGCCATAAATTTCTACTATATTATTAAATGTCAATTTCATATTATCGTATGCCATTTTATCAAATCATGTATATCCTCCTCATATTATATTAATAAATGTCGTAACTATAATAAATTTTATAATTTTATTTATGTTATGCGTGTATTATATATTGTTCGGTACCTTGTGAAAATGTCGCCACGAATTGGGTTGGGCACGATATCCTGGCGAGTCGAGTCCTTGACGTGGGCCACCTTTCTGAAAAAGGACTGCTTCACGAATTTCTGGGCCTCCTCAGCCGTCCGATCGGGCTCCACCACCTCTGGGATTGTTTCCCGCCTAGATTTCTTAACAAACACGTTTGGGGCCCGGCCCAATTGGTGCAGGGCCGTGTAAAGCCCAAACGACATAGACAGTGTTATCATCCCCAAGGCAACGCTCACGGGAACAAAATCGCCTTTAGTCGGCAACCTGAAAACGCCCCATTACATCTCAATTCTCAACTCAATTAAGTTTAATTAATGGATTTAGAAAAAAGGAAAAAAAGAAAAAGTTTGGAAAGAAAAATGATACTTGGATTTAATTCCTTCTGGATGGGAGTAGTGAAAAGGATGGGCCATGGTGGAAAATGGTTTCAGCTCACGAGAAAGTGGAAAATTCGAGCTTCCACGTAACCCTTCCGCCATAGTTTTCCAGTAAGCCTGCAAAATACGGAGAAAATGTTAAATATGTACACGCACATTATTGATTGACAGCCCGCCCTTAAAATAGAAAGTAAGAAAATTTATTTATCAACATACAGCAGCTTTGAAAGCCATGTGTTTCGAGGTTGAGTAATTGAACTTGAACTTGAACTTGAACTTGAGAGAGATTGAGTTTATGTTTCCGCTTACGAGATGATTAATTAGCTTATATTTTGATGTTGTAGAGAGAGACAGTATAGAAATAGATGATTCTAGGAGACGGTGGAAATTGGGTGACGTGATGGTACCTCTTGCATAGGATGTCGTACGTCATCACTGTATAGAACACTCCTGAAGCAACGGGTTAGCTCTTATTAAATGTATGCATCAAAAGCGACGGTTTAATTTGTTTTTGAAGTTTTCCTTGGGAACAATAGTTTCTGGATAAATGATAAATCTTTGGTCTATGCTCACTTTGTCATGATAATTAAATTAAATTATTACTTTACCCTTTTCATTTGAGATTGTCATAACAGTTATTAAATGTTCTTTCAATCTGGAAACTGCGACGGATCACATAAATGATGTTTTTTTTTCCTTTTATTTTTATTTTTTTAACAAAAAAAGTGTGTGATACTCTGAGGATGAATTTTCAATCAAAAATAGTATGTTAAGAAATAATTAATCCATATTTAAGTACAATAATCATTATTTTTATTACCGAAATTACAAAACAATTTCGTTAGTACGTAAAAGGTTTCGTTCATCTACTAACTTTTGTCGATAGCAGTGTAGTGTTGTTGAAAGAACAACAATTTCACTTACTATTTACAACATTTTTGCCTCCTTAAAAATCCTCTCATCTCTCTGTAAAAGCTCGTGGGGTTCGCTCCCTCAGTCGTTTCTCCCCCGACTAAAGGATTAGGATTAGGAAACTCGAATCTAGGTTGAGACTCGTCTTTTTTAGATTTGACTAAGCGTTTGAATAAGGTCGCAGTTTTTTGTTGTGAATGCAAGAGATATTTTATTACACAATGTAATTCCTATGCATCTAAATTAGTGTATTTACCTTCCTTAATCGTTTTCCTAGATTAGTTGTGTGATTGTCAATCATAATGACATGATTATATTTTCCTTATAATTTTGATGTGTAGGCCTTAATATCGTCTTTGTAATCTTTTATTTAAATAATAGAATAGCACAAGAAAGATTGTCAATTCAATAGCCAAACGAGATCGTGTTCTCTTGTGTTCGCGTAAGTTTTTTCTTGTATCTTGGCCATAATCTCGCCGGCAATTGGGTGTTTGTCTCTCCGACGAGCTTCTAACGTTGTGCTCCAACGAGTGATCCGTGAAGTGAGCGGCGGAGTAGCTACCCAAGCTGCCATCCAACGAAAGTGCTAACGAGCAAGGGAAGTGACTCGACCCTCTATGACTTCACTTCGCTTCGCTTCGTTTGTTGGGACTGAAAGAGCTGAGCCTAGGTAATAAAGAAGGAAGAAGGCTTTTACACTTACAGCAATGAAGAAAGGACTTAAAGCTTGTGTCAGAAAAGACTGAAAACGAGTACCCTTGCTTCCCTGTAAGAAGAAAAAGAAAATATCAAAAGCGTCCATTGAAGGCTAGGGCTCTCTGGAGCGTGATCGAGGACGGCCGCCTATCCACAAGAGGAGATGATGGCATTTTGACGCCTTGTGCGGCGAGGTGCCACGAGAGATGTAATGAAGTCATCCATGGTAATGTATTTCGATTTTCATTATACTTTTCACTTGATATTTATTTTTAAATAAATAATATATTATAGAACATTGATTGGAAAATGTTTTTACAGATATACAGCTTCATTATAATTATTAATTTAAAAATTAAATAAAATCTAATTTCGGCCGATTATACACATCAAACTAGTACTATAATATAACATTGGAATGGGATGCTCAGGCAAAGAGTTAATAATCTATTCTGCATTTTGCTTTTACAATACATATTTTTCTTTTACAATATGACATTTTATCATGTAAAAACAAGAAATGTTCAAGGAAACGTCAACAGACCTAGGTGTAATAACCATGTAAGATTCCGTAGATCAAGCGAACGCAATTAATTAACAACACCACAACAGGATCCTAGTCTTGAAAAAACAAAAACCATTTATGGGGTGTTAACTTATCATACTGTAAACAAAGGGACAAAATCACAAACACTTAGTGTGGTAAAAAGAAGCCCTACAACAGTAATCAAGTATTACTCAACACCATAAAGACATAACAACATGCAACCGTAACACTGTGCATCTTAAAAACCAGTTAGTCGGTCAATCCCCAGATGATTACACATCCTAGAGCTTTATCCCTAGGGGCAATTGAAAAATCCAATGTGTAATCCGAAGAATAATCACCAATATAACAAAAAATAATATTGTTTTGTTCTTTTATTAACCTATTGTACGAGTACGATATCACCCTCATTTTCATCATCATCGGCCTTTTTTTTGCAGCCATTGCTAGTCAAGATCCAGACTTTTTTTCATGGCCTCATAAACTAGATACGTAATGCTTGCAGCAGGTACAACTTTGAGAAGATTCGGGAAGAGCCCTTTGTAGAAACCCCTGAGACCTTCACGATTATATGTTCTCCAGAATACATCTGACATGCTACTGTAAGCAGTGCCTGCACCACTACGTTGAGCTTGCATTCTAGAAAAGAACTTGTATTAGAAAAATAGCAAAACAAGGGGTACCTAGAAAAGCAACAATCAAGGTATCCCAACTAAATGGATCCCCCATTAGCCCAAAAACCACCCAAAGAAAAAACAGACTAAAATCTTAAACTTAAAAAAACCAAATGGGGGATATAAAGTGAAAAAACTGTTGCAAGTAGTCTGATGGGAACTCCTGTCGACAATAGGCTGTAACAATATTACGACGGCGTTATTGGGATTTCCACCTACTTTTTGACAACATAAGTATATTTATTCATCAATGCCTAGTGCAAAACGGAAAACAGACAGAAATCTAAAGGTTGTTTTAATAGTTATATTAAAACTTCACTTTTTTATTTTATTGGGTGAGTAGTTTTGTGATCATTTCAACAGATAATGGTTAAAAATTCTTCACATGGGTAAAAATAACAACACAAAAATTGTATGACCAATAGAAGAAGGGTTACAGTAAGTAATGATTACCTAGTTCTTACCACCTGCAGTGGATAAACGCACGTTGCACCAAGCGCACCCGAAACTGTCCCACAACCCAGCTGCACGACGGGACCAGGTTCTACCAAACAATATTACACAAAACAATTTCAATCATCACGATTCATACAAATTAATCGAAATAAAAAGACAAAACATAATTCGTAAAACAAAAATAACTCCAAATCATACCCCCATCATGAAGAATATATTTCCTCGACATATCCTTCAAGGTCTCGTACGCCGTCAAATCAATGCCCGCGTAAGGTATAATCCCAAGAAGCGACGGCACCAGTCCTCTGTAAAACGCCCGAGGCCCTTCCTGAACCCATATATCCCTCGAAAGCTTCCACAAGCTCGGCACACTCCCACTCTCACACGCGTACGTCTGCAAACGGGTCTTCACGAGATCCATCGGATAAATCGAGGTTTGAGCCACAGCCCCAGCCAGCCCACCAGAAACGAGCCGCCCCACGGTCCCCACATTTCCACTTTCGTCCCCAACGAAACCTTTCAACAGCTCGTACGTGTAGAACTTGATGGCGCTCTCGGGGGCCACCTTGAGCACATTCAACCCATTCCCACGGAAAAATCCCAATATCCCGCCTTCTTTCCATATGTTTCGAACGGCGGGCCCGATCGAAGCTTGGGTCGTCTGGACCTGTAGGTAGGGTTGTAAACGAATCGAATCAAAGCGAATATTAAGATATTCGATTCGGATTCGTTAAAACATTCGAGGATTCGAATTCGTATTCGATTTTGTAAATGATCGTTTTTTGATTCATATTCGATTAGTTCAGAATATTCGAACATTTTTTATTCGAATCGATTCGAAATTCGTTTTCAGAAAAATACTATAATTAAAAAAAAAATCATAATTACAAAAATGTTGTTTATGTTTTTTTCTATCCAATTTGATATTTTTTAGGGAAAATTATTAATTGGGGTGTTTTTATTTTTATGTCATAGAATTTATATATAATAAAAAAAAATTATACTATATATAATTTATAAAATTTATATAATTATCCTTATCGAATCGAATATCCACAAATTCGAATTCGGATTCATTTGACTTCCGAATATTTCGAATTTGAATCACGAATATCGAATCGAATAAAAAAAATTTCGATTTGTTTACAAGCCTACCTGTAGGATTACTTTCAGGCGGTCGAGAGGGGCGGTGGCCGTGCGGGAGGCAGCTCCGGCGACTCCTCCGGCGATTAGGTACTTTGTGGCGTGGACGTGTTTGCTGATGCCGTCCGGGATCACGGCCTGCTCGCCTATGTCGACTAGGTACACGCGCTCCCAGTAGCGGTAGATGTTCTCTAAGGTGGCCTCGTGAGGGTAGAGAAGGAGAAAGTCCCGCCATTCCTCGAAAGTGATGATGCCGTTGTTGTCCTTGTCGACGTGCTCGACAAAGCTGGCGAGCTCGTCGTCGTTGATTTCGATCCCTGGGGGAAACGAACTGCCATGACTTATAAGATGAAAACAGAAACGTGTGTGGCCATGGGCGAAACTACATGTTGATCTAGGGGGGCAATTGCCCCCCCTCAAATTTTTTTTTTTTTTTTTTTTATCTCATTTTTTTTTTTTTTTACTATTATACTTAAAAATTTCAATTTGCCCTTCTTTTAAATTATTTTTTGCACCCCCAAATTTTTTGCCATGTCTTTTGCCCCCTCTCAATTCGCCCCTGTGTGTGGCTAGGAGAACTTAAATGGACGCACATTGATACACGGCCATGAATGTAATACTATCTGAATTTGAAGAAATTAGTGTCCATGTAAAGAGGACAACATTGACAGTCAGTACTGGAGAGGAAGCGTGCTTGTAAACAGGAAAGAGCTAACATGTAAACATAAACTAACCTAAATTACCAGGCGTAATATTAAGAAACTGATGAAATATAAAAAGTGAAGATTGAGCATAAGAAATATTGATAATGGAAAAAGAAGATGAAAATATTCTGACTTGTTTAATAGAAGAGGCATATGGAAGGAAGATTATGTCTGAATTGGGAATATTAAGTACATTACTTGAAAAACTACTCATCAAAAGCAATAGAATACGATAAAAGACGATGATATCAAGTCACATATGATAAAGTTTTCGAAGCCAAGGAGAAGAAGTTTAAAATATGGAACCATGACTTTCCGAGATGAGGTTATAGCTGATACAACCACACATGTGACTCACCTACATATTTAAGCACAACTATAACAGAGCTGGTATAAGATAGCATTCAAAGTAAATATCTGTAACACACTCGACCCCCTTTATCAAATTATTAATAACATCAAGCAATCTTTCATTAATCTTTGACTTGTGTTTTGGCTTTAAATTACCAAACTCATTCTGAGAGCTGCAATCCCCTCCAACGACAGTCCTAGTCAAGGCCAAATTTCAACAGCTAGCAATCAACTAACCATAAGTGACAACTCTTAGTACCATTTGATTATTTGAGGGTAAAAGTTCTCATAATCCCAGGCCAATAAGGTAATAAAGAGTAGCACACTATAAACTAGCTCAAGCAGCATGAATAGTACCGATTTTCCTATTGAAGACTGGAATTATACGAGTACATACGTTTCAGGCAGTTTTCTGTGAAATCATCTTGATTGAACATTCAACAACTTTAATCCTTTCCACAGCACACCAAAGGTTTTCATTCTTATTTCCTGGAATTTTGTTCAATAAAATTCTCAATTCCTAATTCAAGCAAAAACTGTCTAGAGCTTCACTGTTGATAGCCGTGAGCAAAGATGTGTGTATACAGCAAACAACCATGCATCATGTGTCCATGCAAAATCTCAACACAGAAGAATACAAACGTTCGTTGGAGGAATACATGGTAAAGTGAGTGACATCAACCCTTTGTTCGCCTAAATTAAGATTGACCAAATACAGTTGACCCTCAAAGTGATTTTGAAACTATTATCAAATGAAACTCAACACTTCCTCCATTCACCTCCGCTAGGCCCTATACCATTTCAAGACCTTAATGCGCTCTAAACAACAATTGCTAACTTAGTATCACTTTCAACAGCCATCCTTGAAGAACAATCAACTCTACCATAAAAAAAGATCCATAAACAGAAAAAAAAATAGAGTGGCGATAATATACCAGCCTTGACAAGAGCATCCCACAATTCCTCAGGTAAAATGCATCCATTGTGCTCCACATCGATTGCCTGGAAGATCCTGTACAATTCCAGCTCCTTGTCATCCATATACTTCCTAAACTCCTGATAATCAACTCTGCCATCCTGATTAGCGTCGCAAACCTCCAAAAGCTCCTTCGCGAACTTGTATTCCGCGGGGATTTGCATTGCAGACAGCCCCTTCTCGATCAAGCCGTAATCCAAGTACCCGGCGTTATTGGAATCGAAGAAGCTGAACAAACTCCGTATTCTCGAGTCTCTCTCCTCCTTGGTCTCCCGCAGGGCGGCCAACACGTGGTCCATCGACACTGGGCCGGGCTTTTTCACCGGGTTGCAGCATCCGGATCGGGCCTGCGGATCGCCCGCTCCAGATGCCATTGTTGCTGCAGCAGCTGATGCCGGGAAATTGGCATGCCTCTCAACTCCCGTAGACATAAATAATCGGTACAAAATTATAAAATGAAAGACGCAAAATCTTGGAATTGTTATATCCTCACCGCATGGTGAAGAAAGAAAATATCTTTACAGATCTGCAGAGGAGAAGGTTATGAATATTGATGGAGATGAGGGGGTTAATGGAGAAGAAAAGAGGAATATTTGGCAATTTTGTAAAAGGTTTTTCCAGCGAGATGACATGACCCGAAAACTTTGAATGGAGCTCCGTATCCTTTTTATCGGGTCATTAATGGGGACTTCACAAGTTTCCAGCTTTCAACTGGAGAACCTGCGATATACTTTATGGATTTTAGAAAATGTTTAATTATAGGAAAAATTCTGACTTTTGCTTAAATTATAAATAAAATTTCACTTTTTTAATTTGGTAAAAAAATATTAAACTTTTTATAACTTTTACAATTGTGTCTCGAAGTCACATTCTGACCAGATGATGCTGACATGGCATGTCGTTAAATTGATGTGGCACCGATTTTGTGACGTGGCAATCAACATTTTAGGGTCAATCAATCCTAGTCATCTATATTCCGCTCCTATTCGCCCTTTACATCTTCACCACCCAATTTATCCACAAATTGAGAAATCTTCCTCCATCCCCAATTCTCGACCTACACTTCATCGGCCACCTCTATCTCCTCAAAAAGCCCCTCTATCGATCCTTAGCTCAAATCTCCCACCGCTATGGCCCCGTCACCCTCCTCAGCTTCGGCTTCCGCCCCGTCCTCATCGTCTTCTCCCCCTCCGCCGCCGAGGACTGCCTCTCCAGAAACGACGTCGTCTTCGCCAACCGCCCCCGCCTGCTCGCCGACAAGCACCTCGACTACAACTACACCTCTCTCATCTGGTCCTCCCCCTCCGCCGCTGAGGACTGCCTCTCCAGAAATGACGTCGTCTTCGCCAACCGCCCCCGTCTGCTCGTCGACAAGCACCTCGACTACAACTACACCTCTCTCGTCTGGTCCTCCTATGGCGACCACTGGCGGAACCTCCGCAGGATTTCCTCGATCGAGATCCTCTCCGGCCACAAGCTCCAGTCGCGTCACGAGATCTGGGCCAAGAGCTCAGATCCACGATCAGGGCCCTGAAGCTCGGGCCCATGGATTCGCGCTCGACATGAAGACCGCCTTCTTCGAGCTGACTATGAACGTGGTAATGAGGATGATCGCCGGGAAGAGATACTACGGGGAGAACGTAGAGGACGCCGAAGAGGCGCGGCAGTTTAGGAAGATCGCGAAGGAGTCGCTGAGGGTGTCGACGTCAAGCACGGGGGATTTTCTGTCGGTGGTGCGGTGGCTGGGGTTGGGCAGCGGCGAGAAGAAGATGATTGAGTTGCAGGCAAAGAGGGACGGTTTTATGCAGGGATTGGTGGAAGAAGGGAGGAGAAGGTCCGTCGGCGGTGGGAAGTCCAAAACTATGATTGAGATGTTGTTGGCGTTGCAGGAATCGGAGCCCCAATATTATATAGATGCTATAATTAGAAGCTTAATGCTAGTAAATTCGCTAATTTGACCCTTTTTTTATTAATTTCATTATTACAGTATTTCATGATTTTTTTAGGGTTCTATTGCATCGTGATTTTAGGGTTCTTGACTAGGAGTGGAAATCAATCCCTCAAGCATTTGGTGAACTCGATTTATGGGTTGAAGAATCAAGCCGCTGCAACCTTGGAGGTGAAACTTTGGGAAAAAGATCGAGAACAAAATCGCCTGCTGAAATCGTTGAAGAACAAAGACCCCCGCTGGGAAAATCAGGCTTTTAAATTGTGTGAGTTTGATTTTTTCTTCTCCATGTGTATTTCCTACGTGTAACTATTGTGATATGGAGTCCTTGGTGTCATATGATGTGACATCGAGTATAAAATGTTGATTGCCATGTCACAAAATTGGTGCCACATCAATTTAACGACATGCCATGTCAACGTCATCTTGGCCGAATGTGACTTCGAGATGCAATTGCAAAAATTATAAAAGGTTTAGTATTTTTTTGCCAAATTAAAAAGGTGGAGTTTTATTTGCAATTTAAGCAAAGGTCAAGATTTTTCCTGCAATTAACTCTTTAGAAAAAAGAGAAGTAGACGTGTCCACAAGCCAATATGGGTCGGTTCAGGTTTGCATTTTGTGTTAATCAGAACCAGCGGGCTTATATATGCTTGTCGGTTCAATGAACTGGTAATTAGTACAAAATTGACATCCAGACCTAGGGGCGGATCTAAGAAATATAATGAGTGAGGGCCTAATTATTCAATAAAAATATATAAATTACTATACAAAAAGTATAAATACAAAAACATATATTCATAGTCGTTCTTTACTAGTTTTCATCTACTGATATCGTTGTATGATAACATCATTATCAATTTTCAGAAAGATTTTTTTTTTACATAAATTAATAGTCTATCATTTTACCAATCATCACTCATTTGATTGTTCAATCTATTCTTAACAATATCCATTGCGGAAAATACTCGTTCCACGTTAGTTGTTGCAACCGGTAAAATCAAAGCCGAAGTTAAAAGCTTGTAAACAAGTGATACCAGAATTTCCCTAAATCTGTTTGGATTCAAAGTATTCTCTTCTGAGACATTTTCACAAGCACTTTGTTGACGGGGCATTTTCTAAAATATCTCTCCATATCTATATACAAAGTTAATATTATAAATAATTAAATATACAAATACTCATTCCTGTCAAATACCATTTTGTGTAGCTGAATAATGTGGTAATTTATTTATTTATTTTTCTCTAGGCAATAAATTTTGAGATTTCTGAAACTCACATATCATATTACATCTCATCTAAAATCAACTATTACCAATGTAAATAAGATATAAAAACTTATCATCATCACAATTCACATTTGTCAAGCCTACATCGAGCGAGAAAAGAGAAAAGCTTGCATATTCATGACACAAAATAAAGCATATCTAAAATCTATAATTTTATGCTAAAACTGTATGCGTGACTGGATACAATTTTAATCACCAGCCTTGCAATTGTGTGCGATTGTGTACATTCAATATTAAAAGATAAATGTAAAAGAACACATATGAAAACCAACAAATTAATTTTGATTAGCCCTTTAATAAATTCACTAATTCAATTAGCTAACTAATTAAGTGTCCTTCTTTTTCTTTTCCTATGTGGTATGTATTTGGCGTGTGTGTCTTTTTTGTACTATTTTCATTACTTTAATTACTTATGTTAAATGCTCTATTAGTTTGTTATATAAATTTATTAGTTGTGTTCATATAGGCTAGTAATAGTAATAGTGTAATACTAGAGGTTTATATGGGTTTAGTAAGACTAGTTCATTTCTTTTATCTAGTGTGAGCCTAGGCCTACACTGGTCCTCAAGTGCCTCCGTCACCAGACCAAACCAACTTAAACTGGCGATTCCTACATTTTGTTTTAAAAGGACTATTGGATCTCCCACAATCACAACGATCTAACGATCTAGATTTGAGCAGTTCTAGTTTCGGGCTCAATCCGACGTGGCCCGACATCGAAAAGAATCAATTATTTTTGTATAATTTGAAATTTAAATAAAAAATAATAAAAGAGAAACGGGCTGTCGGGCTGGTTCATTTTTTAACCTGAACTGGAATTTTTGGTCCGAACAATTTTATTTTGCTTGAACTTGAACCGGCCTGAATAAATTCACAGGTCGATTCAGAGCCCGTGATCAACGGGTTTGATCGGGCCGGTTCCAGTTCGATTTTGGCCACATCTAAAGAGAATGGGACATACACAATATTTGAATAAAATTAAAAATAGTTATTGCCTTGAACGATAAAAGTAGATTATAACTCAAATGGAAATGGACAATACCTAGCAAACTAGGGTACCAATAATAAAACTTGACCAGGAAAACAAAATACGAAAATAAAAATGGTGAATGAATCAGCTATAAACATCACTCCTAAGCAAAAAAATTATTGTTTGGTTCTCGTCAAGAGACAAAGGTCTTCACACCAAGAGCACTGCTAAGCAAGTTACCTACCACAAAGAACATAAACACACTATCAACTGTAGACAACGCAGCTTGGCGGTAAGACGTTTCATCTATCCGATAGATCATGGATTCGAGTCACTGAAGAGGAGAAGTAGGAACACTATTGATCCTTCTTTGTA